TCCTTTCCTGTCCCATAGTGTTCCTCTCCCCTCCCTCCCTTGTCCTTTAGTGTTCCTCTCCTCTCCCCTCCCTTCCCTGTCCCTTAGGACTCTCCCATCCCTCCTCTGTCCATTAGTGTTCCTCTCCCATTCCTCCCCTGTCCCTTAGTGTTCTTCTTCCCCCCTTACCTGTCTCTTAGTGCCCCCATTCTCCCCCTTGATGTTCCTCCGACCCCCCGTCTTAGTGTTCCTCTCCCCCTACCCCAGTGTTCCTTTTCCCTCCCCCCCCTACCCCAGTGTACCTTTTCCCTTCCCTCCCCTTAATGTTCCTCTCTCTTCCCCTAGTAATCATCTCCCCTCCCTCTTTTTTTAGTGTTCTTTCCCCCCTCTCCTGTCCCATAGTGTTCTACCCCTTCCTGTGTCCAATAGTTCCCCCCCTGCTCCCCTGTCCCATAGTATTCTCCCCCTACTCCTCTGTCCCATAGTGTTCTTTCCCCCTGTCCCTTAAAGCCCCTCCCACCCCACCCCGGTCTCCTGTGTGTCTCCGACCTTTCTTGTAGCGTGGCCAAGTGAAGCAGACAGTAGTACAGGAGCTCTCAGTGAGCACTTTCTGTCAGTCCAGCCGGGTACAGGAAACAGAAGTTCCTGTACCGCAGTGCACAATACTCTGCTCGGCCACGCTACACTGAGTGTCTGGCAGGAGGGAGTGCTGTGCTCCCACCTCCTGCCCATCACTCTACTCTAGCGCCCTAATGCGGTCGCTTGTGCCACCTTATGGACGCGCCGGCCCTGTGAGCATGCACTCTGAGCCAGTTAAATGGTCCAATCAAAGGCTTCTCTATGAGAAGCCTTTGATTGGACCTACTTGTGGCTTCCATGACATCAGACGGGGCACTTGTCATGCAGCTCCAGGGACTTCACCCAGAACTGATTTAAGGTAAGTAATAAATCTGTATAAAAAGATTTTAGGCAATATTTTTGTGCAGGTGGGACCTACAGAATAATTTCCAATAGGGCATTATACCAACAGAGATAAAAAAGGGTTGGAGAAACCCTTTAACTATATTAAGAGAAGTTGTGATTTGGTAATTTGGGACAATATAGCTTGGTTGAAAGACTCAATATCAATTACTTTTAATTAATTACTAATTATTATATTATTTGTAACTTGTATAATACATGATATGTATCATTTGTTCTTTAAATGTTTCTTTAAGAATATAACTAGGGTTTTTGAAACATAACAATATTCTAGAAGTTATATTTTGGTTACTGTACTTTACCACCACTTTATATTCATTACAAACTCAGAGTTAGAATAGTTACAGGAACTGTGCAGTAGATATTGTAATTTCTGCACTGAAGGACATAGCCAATGCACTAAGAGATCAAAATACAGTTTAATCAGCCATCAACATTTATTCATCAGCTTGTTAAAGAGAAGAGATGTCAAAACCAATACATCAACAGAGCTATTGCTGCATTCTGTGCACCAACTCCTTGGAACTGTCTGCTAAGCTTCATTTACACACTCTGCAACCCTATCAAGAGAGCAAACATCAGGTGTTGAATCCGTACATCTCGATGGATGGATGTCAGTCCACATTAGCTGCCTTACAAAAATGGACAGAAAATAAAGAAACAGTGAGAACAGAGAGAAATGAATTTGCTTGAAATACTCAACTTCAGAAATGCTTCATTTTCTTTTTATTGTATGAGGAGCTTTTCTCACTTTAAATGAACACTCCATGTCTGCCTAGCCTCATCCTAAGGCAGGTACACCCTAATGCACAGTTTCGGCAGGACAAAGATCTCCCAGACTGGCTCTGCTCCCTCTAATTACAGCAGGGATATAACTTTGTGTTCTATTACCACACCCTCCTCATGGCTCACGGTACCAATCTCTTCTCAGTGTGCGTCATAGATTAAGTCCAATGTCGCTATAAAGGAAAAGACGTGGTGAATATGTGATTACTGGAAGGGAGAGAAAGGGACAAAATGGTGTGTGGCGATTTGGAGAGAGAGATAGAACGTGAGGAGGATAATATGGAGACAATTGAAGGTTTTGTTTGAGGGAAATATGGAGATGGAGACAGGGAATGTGAAGGAAGGTAATATAAAGAAAGTGTGAAGGGATATGGAGAATAGGACAGAAGGTGGGGCAGAATATGGGGAGAGGGACAGAAGGTGGAGCAGAATTCAGACAGACGGCCGAAGGTAGGAGGAAAATAGAGAGAGAGAGGTAGAGAAGATGGAGACTATGGAGAAATCTAAAGGTGCGGGGCAGAACATGAGAGGGACAGAATATGAGGGGGAAATATGGAATGAAGGGCAAAGAGTGTTATGGGAAGACGCACATCACTGGAATGTGGGTTTGGTAAGAATTATAAGGGGCAGATGGGAAGAAGTTCCCAAGTTGGGAGTAATAGGGGGATCGATAAATTTTGTCATGTGAAAGTTTTATTTTTGTGAAACTCTGGTTTGCACCCATACTACATTAATGTGCCCCAGATTATTTAATTGCACACCGGGTTATTCACTAAACTCTGAATTATAGCAAATTGAAATCCAAATTTCAAAATTAAAGTGTTACTTCAGCTTCCATGGCCACTTATTATTTTAGAAGCAGGTGAAGAAGGAGCAATGAATCTGTATGTGCAGCATTTCATGAGAAATATGCCCTTTTGTCTGGGGGGCTGGTTACCCCCTGGCACACATGACGTCAGCTACCTATCTCTTCCGGGCTGTCTAATGTTAATTCTTTGCAAAAATTACATTTGTTATCTGCACTCTGTGCACAAGTGCCAGATATATTAAGGGTATTCCCTGGAAGGCATCGGTGGGAGTTGTAAGGATGAGCTTCTATGTCCTCTCCATCGCTCCTACACTACCTCCCAGTCTTTCCATCTCCCTAAATTGTGTACATAATTTTTATTTTTTATTTTTTATTAATGCTCTTCATTTGATCACTCCCCTCTGACCACCTCACACTCTGAGCATTTGCAAGCGCCATGAGTATGGAGATTGGTCCAATCAAATGCTTTTTTATGAGGAGCATTTAACTGGACCTCGAAGAGGGAAGAAGTAATTCAGCATGACAACCGATAGGCCTCATGTGGACCTGGATTCCCTGTATGTTTTTGTTTTTATTTTGCAGGGTTTTAGAATTCAAAAAGAGGTTGTGGACAAAGATACTAGTGTCCAATAGGCCATCACAAACTAAAAGAATAGGGTTGTAGTAACCCTTGAAGACTAAAACATGCAACCTGTGGCTATAGTAGAGTTGGGCAAAATGTCTCCAAATTAGCTATGTTTGCCTTAAATTTTCAAATTAATTTCCATTTATTAGAATTTGGAGTTTAGTGAGGAACTCATATATTACCTGAATGTAATGCCTTCAAAATCTACTGTAACAATAGGCCACTATCAGTGACAAATACATAGTGTATTAACATTTTTTTTACAGTTTGTGTATTGTGGTCAAGGTCTTGTCCTGCTCAGTTTTTATAAATACCTATTATTTCATTTTTATGAAAAAGTTATATTTGTGCTATATACAGCATAGTCAATGTTTCCCAAATGTGTTCAGACTGCATCATAACTAAACTCAATATGTATGTTCACCATAATAAGGACTCTTAATCATAACTATAATAAAGCTATCAATAGTGGCTCGGCACATAAGATTTTGGCAGCTCATTGCAAAAAATTTTAAGCCTGAGGCACATTATCCCAATTTTATCTGTTGAAATAACTGCAGCATATTGAGTGCCCATGAGGCTACTTCAATTTCACAGTTGCATTTAAGAACGTATGGAAAGTACTGCTGCAAGTTGGCAATTGTAAGCAATTCTAACTATGTAAGTTGTATGCTGAGTTTATCATACAAATAACCTGACCTAATAGAACCTCACCCTCCTTTAGGCATGTTAATAAAAATACAGGATGTGGTCTAGATTTAAGAGTAAACTTAACAAAAGTACAAAAAGTACTTTCAATGACTCGGGAGACTTGGTGGACTTATAAATGATGATATTATGTTGGTGGTGATGGTGTATAATCAAAATAATCTAGAAAATATAGAGATATGACAAGAATTCATGGTCAACCATATTTGCCCTCAAATGGTACAATCATTGTTAAAAATAGTAAACTGGATAAAAATCTTCCAGATCTCCCAAAATTAAGGAAATAGACTGGGCTTTTCCCCAAACACCCGTAGCTTGGAGTGAGGTAAAGTAAGGAAGAGGAGGGGTGTAAGATCCTTCCTGTGCAGTTGGGCTTTCTCAATATAGCATGTCTGGGTATATCCATTCCCTCTAATAGCTGGATAATTGGCATCCCTCTGACATTTTACTATATATTGGAGGAGGGATTCAGGAGTTTAGTGCCTTCTGCATTGGGAATCCCTCTGGAAAACTGGTTTAAGATCTGTTATCAGAAGGAATTGTCGGGCCAGTCTCAGATTACATGTTCACATTGCCGTTAGTAAATATCTAAATTGCAATTTTGTATCAAATTTATGGATCACCAAATTTTTGGGGGCCATTTAAGAAACACAGTTGTGAATAAATTAATCACCCTAAGTATTGAGGTGAGTCCGAAGTGTCCCTTTGTAGGAATTTGGTTCTATACCAAGACTGTAAATTATTGTAAACTACTAGTTTGCTTGAAAGGCAAATAAAAATAATATGATAAAAATGTTAAAAGAAAGGATTCTAAAATCATCCTACTGTCCCTGATAAGGGGGTGTATGCACACTGAAACATGTCGGGCTATGTATTTTGTATTTTCTGTTAATTCTCTACTATTGGTTACTCTATCCTAGTGTGTGCCAAGGTAGTCATAGTGTAATGCCCTGTGAGTTGGCTATAAGGCTAGGAAGGCTCTGTATTTATTTAGCTGATTAATCAGTTAACTCACCCACAGGGTTTTAGCTAGCCTCTAAGGAGCACACTAATATTAATTCCTTTCTGGATGATATGTACAAGCCCTATATGTCTCTATATATAAAAGGTTATATGAAGATTATTAACTAAAAAAGTGAGTCTCTCTCTCTCTCTCTCTCTCTATATATATATATATGTATATATATATATATATATAGAGAGAGAGAGAGAGAGAGAGAAAGACTCATTTTTTTAGTTAATAATCCTCATATAACCTTATTTTCTTATTAGCCTGAATGGTAGAAATATTTATTTGTAGTTTCCATTTACTTTAGCCGCTATAAGGTTGAGGAGTCCCCCTGCTTTGGAGCAGGACAATGGTTCTTTTTTGGTAATATTCACTTAATTATAAAAGGAGGGCTGCGCCAGAATAAACAGTGTCCAGTATCAATAGTTATTGAAGATAAAAAGTCCGACCTAAAAAGGTATCCTCTCTGTCGTCTTTAGGTACAGGAACGCGATCTTCAGGTAATATATAAAAGATAAAAGGAGAGAACAAACGATGGTGCAGAATGTATGGAAATTTAATTTTGTATAATAAATATTAAAGTTTTTGGTTAACTGATAGTCCCAACTACTTTTATTTATACATGTACCCTGGCTATTTATCGTTTTAGTTCATTGTTATATTTTATATACACTCTATTCCGATTTTAATACTATCTCTACAAGTTCCTGACAACCAAAGAAATCCATAGGTGGGGATTATTCCACCAGCGCTGACATCAAAGAGCAGTTGGTCTGCTCTGTACTTGTAAGTACGTTTTTTTTATTCTCTTTTAAAATATACAGTTATACAGAGAGCACTATTTGGCTGTTTCTGTTTCCTTTGAGTTTTGGATACCCTGACGAACCCATCATAAATCCCATAAGCGGGGATTATACCGCTGTGTGCGCTTTACCCTAAAGCTGGACAGAAGCTCTGGAAATTGTGAGTTCTTTATCATTAATCAATTTTTACTTCATTTGAACCGTACATTCTGCACCATCGTTTGTTCTCTCCTTTTATCTTTTATATATACCTGAAGATCACGTTCCTGTACCTAAAGACGACAGAGAGGATACCTTTTTAGGTCGGACTTTTTATCTTCAATAACTATTGATACTGGACACTGTTTATTCTGGCGCAGCCCTCCTTTTATATTTTGCTTTTATCCTGTATTTTAGGGTTTTGGGGGGATTCCCTTGTTGGGTTGCTGCCTTACTGGTTGTCTGGCGCTGTCTCTTTTCCTTTATTTATTTTAATATTCACTTAATTGTTTACGTGTATACAATGCGCGTTACATTAGGTACAGAACTTTCTTGTTTTGTGTTTATTTAGGGTGCTATTTAGACTCATCTGTCACTTAGTACAGATATATTAACAGTTTTTAGCCATATCCTTATAACCATCCAGACCAAGTGTCTGGTTGGTTCATTTTCTTTGTTCTTGTACTTGGCATTAGATCATGGTGGGTTACCCCCAACTGGCTCCAGTTGCCCTTCACCTGCACTTTCTTGTACCTTCTTGGGTGATTCCTAAATCATTTATGAAATGCTATCTGGTTAACAATCTGTTTACAATTTTTCTGAATTGACAGCAAAGAACTGTCACTGATTATTACCAGCTGGAGTGGGCAATACATTGCAGTTCAGGCAGTGCGCAAAGGACAGGCGGTGTGTAGGCTGCATTTAATTTTAGTCAACCAAGTAATTTCCTTTTGATGTTCATTTCATTGTTCAGAGTGAACTATAACTTGTAATTCTGATCTGGAACAAATAGGATAGCTTTGTTCTCCTTGTCTTTATTACTTTCTTACATTTATATTATTCCTACTCATTCAGATGGAAATGAAAGGACAAGTTATCAAGCAATGAGCAGGAAAAGGAAAATAAATCGCATTCACCAAAATGTTTGATAAACTTGAAGTACTAAATGGAAATACCAGAAGTGGACAGAATAATGGAAATGCCAAATTAAAAATAAAATAAAGCTAAAGAAACAAAATCACAGTTACAAATGCAGCTCCAACTACGAATGCGACTCCATTTATGTTGATTGCTAATTAGTAGCAGGTGTCAGCAATAAGTGAGGTCTGACAATTAGCACTTTGATGTGTGAGTTTTTACTGAAACAGGAGGAAACTTACAGAGTTCGGGAACAAAGAGTCACTGATATGAATCACAGGTGCATCGGTTACAAGTACTGCAGAATGATCTGATCTGTTAAAGGGAATAGTTTAAAAATTAATGACAGCCTATGTCCCACATGGACAGACTGCATCAGCAAACAGGAACATTGGTCGCCAGTTGAAGATAGCAGGATAACTGCTAGATGTCACAAAATTACATCCTAAAAATGAGCACTGAATGTAATCTGTACTTCTGTGACCTAGTTTTTGAGACAAAATATACATTATAACCATTAGAGAGTTGGAACTTATAGCAGTGCATTGAGAAACCACTTGCATCGAATGTCAATTCTTGTGTGAGGAGTTCAAGATGTGGAGAAACTTAGACAGTGAAATAAGCCATTTTTCCTGTGATTTTCTACTTGATTGGTCAATGTTTGGAGATTAATGTTTTAAACCCACAATATAAACTTTTCACAGTGTTTGTTATTCAAATTGATTCATATGAAAAAAATATTAGTCACAAGGCAGAGACGTGGTTAAAGGCAGACTGTGGGTTAATGTTGATCTCCCCAAATTTTTTATGCATCATCAAGATATTGCATTCAACATTTCACTACTGAGTTTATTTTTCTTGCATAGAGATTGCTATTAAATGATTAAATTTAATTTTGACTACAACAGCTTACTGTATGTATATTGTAAAACAGTATACATAACAATTGCTGCAACAACAAATGCATGTCTTCTTCCAAATCTACACATTCAATTAAGACATTAAAGGGTCACTCTGAGCACCCAAAAAAATTGCTTATTGAAGTGGTTTTGATGTACAGATCATGCCCCTGAAGTCTCACTTCTCAATTTTCTGCAGTTTAGAAGTTAACTCACTTTGTATATGCAGCCCTATCCACACCTCCTGTGATTGAGGCTCACAGTCTTCCTACACACTTCCTGAAAAGAAGTCTACATTTTGTAGCTCCACCAGGACTACAAATCTTTATTTGAATTTATGTATACTTCCTATAAACTCTTAAAGAGACACAGATTCATTGTTTACTGCAATTGTCTCATTAATTTCAATTCAAATTGGGAAGCAAAACATGCAACAAAGGTGCACAAAATTATGTATCTGCCATGATGCACAAATTGATGCCTTTTTTGTAATTCTTTATTTAGAAGATATTTTTGTTTTTGACAGGGTAGAAACATGGCAACATTGCAATGTAGTAACGTACAATCATAGGTATTAAAGGGTACATGACATGAGGTAAAACCTGCAAGTGGGAGTGATGCGATTAACTCAGGCACATAGTGACATGGTGATGAGGAATACATTGTCATTGCTCCGTTACATGCTTGGTTTCAACATCATTTCAATGAGTAAAGAGGGTAAACTTAGTATCCTATAGGGCCAACATTATCAAACAAATAAGTGTATAGAGCATCTGAACGGATGAAACATGGGTGTCGTTGTCCTGTTTTGTTTAGGAGACACTTCGATTTGGTGGTGCAGGCTCCCTATTTCTCGAGAGTGTCGGTCCGTGTGTCCGGGATCTGGTTATGTAGTGGTGCCTGTGTGTATAGGGGTATATTCCAGGAGGTCCTCGGATGTGTTTAGGGTAAGGAAAAAAGAAGAGAGAAATAACCAAGAAAGGGTAGAGAGAAAAAAAAAAGAAAGAAAAAATAAAAACAGGGGTGGGTTGCTGCAGCAGGATGGGTGAGTGACAGACCTGGGAGGTTGGGTGGTGGGAGGTAGTTCCACTTCTTGCTAGCCCCTGGTCCCTATGTGTGTAGGGGCAACTCGTAGTGCCACAGGTCCCAGATCTTATTGTAGTTTCTAATGGTGTCATATATCAGAGCGGAAAGCTGGCATCCTCTGTTTGGGTTTTACCATTCTCAGTGATGGGATTTCAGGTCTGCTCCAGTGTTTGGAATTGTCCTTCTCGTCACTAGCGCTTTCCTGGTGATAAGTTTGTTTTGGCATCTGGGAGTGAGTTTAAGGGGTTTTGAGAGATGTCCATTTGTTTTAGTTGGAGAGGGGTGAGGTACTAACGCATTAGAGTTTTATATGCTTGCTCTTTATGATTGACACAAATGGAGACTGTGGATGTGGCTTCCCAGATGTCCCCCCAGTCTTGGGGTCCTCCCATCCTTTAATCCCATATGGTATGTGGAGGTGTTGTATTTGTGCCAGTTGTGCTGTGTGGTAATAGTGTGTGAAGTAGGGGAGACCTAGCCTTCCTGCCCTATTTGGTATGTAAAGGGTTGCTCATTTAATTCTGGCCCTTCTGTTGGCCCATATGAATTTGTTGATTTGAGTCTGTAGTGTTTTAAAGTCGGTGGTGGAGATTGGGATGTGTAGGGACTGGAATAGGTAGAGGAAGTAGATTCATATTTATGGATGCCTTCAGTCCCATCCATGAGATCGATAGTCCTGTCCATGTTTCAAGATCTAGTGTGGCTTGTTGGAGCAGCGGGGTCTAGTTAAGTCGGTATGTCTGTGTCAAGTCTATAGGGATGTGTGTCCCTAGATACTGGATATCCGTGTTCTGAAAGTCGAATGACTGGGTTGGGTGTCCATGTGGATTGGTAGCACTACCGTTATTTCCACGTACAGTTTATATCCTCAGATCTCAGCATAGTCATTCAGGGCGAACAATAGTGGTGGCATCGAGGGCATGGAGTCAATGGTCAACAGTATGTCATCTGCGTATGCTGCCATTTTATATTCTTCTGTGCGTATTGTTATTCCCTTAATATCCTTAATGTGCCTAAGCGATTGTAGTATCGGTTCCAGTGAGAGGGCAAAGAGAATGGGGGACAAGGGAAATCCCTGTCTTGTGCCATTGTAAATTTTGAATGAGGGAGGGTAAGTGAGTGGTAACAGAAGGTTCGCTGTGGGGGAAGCGTATAAGGTCTGTAATGCATCTAGGAAGGGTTATGGGAATCCGAATTTGTGTAGAGTCGCGTATAGGAACGGCCAGAGAAGTCTGGGGTTCACAGGGATTGGTTGTCCATGTGGATTGATAGCACTGCCATTATTTCCATGTACAGTTTATATACTCAGATTTGGGTCCTGGCTTGCTTTTGGATT